TGTAAAATATATATTTAGAAATTAAATTTGTCGTATTTATTAACATCTAGTTTTTTTTAAAAAATAAATTTAATTTGTGTTTATATAAGAACACTTTATAGAATTCTTTATAACGATGACAATTAATAGTAATAGTCATTTTCAATGAATGCTCTTAATAAAATATCCTTCTGAAATGAAATTCCAGAGCGCTATTTTAAAATTGTCTTTCTGGATATTTTTACCTAGAATTTAAATGATGATTCTTTTTCCGTTTATTTCTTGGCAATTGAACCTTTTACAATTGGAGATTTTTAATTGAAATTATAGAAGTTTCGATACAGAGGTAAATATCTCTCTTCAGTGCATCTAAAATTTCTCGTGGCAATCAAATTTTTTTCTCAGTTGGAAGTTTTTAATTGACGTGCATCGAAATAATATTTCTGTTTTCACGTTTCGATCTGTTTTTCAAACTTTTCCCAATCGGAAGTTTTTAACTAGATATTAATATCCCTAGGGCAGAGAGAATGTTCTTCCTAGAATTTTTGATGTAAAATGTTCTTCATAACGACGACAATTAATAATAATTTTATTCTTAACAAATAGAAGTTTTTGAATAAAATTTGAATAAAATTTGAACTATTCTGAAATTGCTTCCCTAGGACTGAAATGATATTTGTTTTTTTCTAAAGAAAGAAATTTCGAAACTTCGAAATTTTTAACTATATATACATACGTATTTGTAATTATACTAAAAGAAAATTATGTTGAATTAGATTCTGAAGATCTCGCGATAAGTTTTTATTTTTGTACAATCTTTTAATTTTCATTCAACTGTAAGTCAGAATTATTTTTCACAATATCTCTTGACCGTCCGACTATTAATCGATTTTTAAAAATTGAAGAATTTGAGATTTAACCAGGGGCGTTTCTAATTTTCTAATATTCCTTTCCACCTATCATCAAAGCTATCAAATAAATTAAAATCAAAGTATTCTCAATATTTTATTTTCAATACTTTAATATCTTATTTATTAACGCTTCACCAAAGCATCATATCAAACGATTACAAAACTCCGATCGAAATCAATACAACGATTTACAATAAAAAATAATGAAAAACAACGTTTCAATTCGAATTAAATTTAGCGTGCATCATTCCGAATCCAAACGACGCGCAATTTATTTTCAATTAACTCGCCGCCGATTCTCCAAATTTCCATTCGACGATCGAGTGTCCGTAAATCGGACGACAAGGTGGTTCCATTCGGGCCGGAAGCGAGCCCGCGGTAACGGGGACAAGGGCCGGAAAAGAGAGTCGCGAGCGCATCTCCGCGAAATTTCGAATTCGGCGCACAGTTTCCCCACCGATGCTCGCCGTCAATGGGAATATTCACGAGCGGAACGAGGTACGCGGGAATCTCGTCGAACGAACTTGACTAATTGCCGGCTGGGATACGGAGTTATTCAACGGGGACGGGGCGCGGAACAAAGGGAAACCTGCTTTTTCCGCGGTAATTGGAGGATCCGTGCTTTGAGAACATTTAAAATGCCCGGGGAACGGAACAATTAGAAGGCGAGAGGAAAAACGTCCGACGAGGGCAGAGAGGTCCAAGAGACCAACTATAGATACCCTCTCAAGCATCGTCGGGAGGGGAGGGGGGTTGAAAAAAATTGTTTCGATGCCATCGGTAGTTAATTGATAATTAATTCGTTTCCAATATTAAATTATTAATTTAAAATAATATTCGTGTAAATGTTAATATTAATTCAATGTTATTAAGCATTTGATAGTAATATTAATTTAATATTATTAAGTATTTGATATTAATATTAATTTAATATTATTAAGTATTTAACATTAATATTAATTTAATATTATTAAGTATTTGATATTAATATTAATTTAATATTATTAAGTATTTGATATTAATATTAATTTAATATTATTAAGTATTTGATACTAATATTAATTCAATGTTATTAAGCATTTGATATTGATATTAATTTAATATTATTAAGTATTTGATATTAATATTAATTTAATATTATTAAGTATTTAACATTAATATTAATTTAATATTATTAAGTATTTGATATTAATATTAATTTAATATTATTAAGTATTTGATATTAATATTAATTTAATATTATTAAGTATTTGATACTAATATTAATTCAATGTTATTAAGCATTTGATATTGATATTAATTTAATATTATTAAGTATTTGATATTAATATTAATTTAATATTATTAAGTATTTAACATTAATATTAATTTAATATTATTAAGTATTTGATACTAATGTTAATTTAATATTATTAAATATTTGATACTAATAGTAATTTAATATTATTATTTGATACTAATGTTAATTTAATATTATTAAGCATTTGATACTAATGTTAATTTAATATTATTAAGTATTTGATACTAATGTTAATTTAATACTATTAAATATTTAATACTAATAGTAATTTAATATTATTAAGTATTTGATACTAATGTTAATTTAATATTATCAAGTATTTGATACTAATGTTAATTTTATATTATGAAGCATTTGATACTAATGTTAATTTAATATTATTAAGCATTTGATACTAATATTAATTTAACATTATTAAGTATTTAATATTAATGTCAGTATAAAATTTTAGTCCTACGTTCGTTCAGTATCTCTTCAGTATTTAATTCGGTAATTTCTCGCAGACAAAAAGATCGAGAACAATAGCTTTGAAAAACAGATTCAAATATCATTGACTTTTGATGCACTTTGTAGTTTTCAGTCTCCAGTTTTTTGTACTATCTTATTATATTTTACAATTGTTTGAATATTATTATTTTACAATTTTCCGAATATTTTTGATTATTATTATATGTTATTTTTCTGCTCATGTTTCTTTTTATTGTTTATATTATTCGTGTAGTTGAATTGATTTTAGGAGTTTTGTATGAATTATAATGTGATTATAATGTGAAATAATTATAGTGGCGAGACAAATCCAAAAATGAAGTTCAAACTGTCATTTTATAGAAAAATATAGAAGTTTGCAAGATATTTAGTACAAGTATATACTTCATAAATATCATAGAAACATTTAAACAAAAGTATAGTATATTAATAAATCTAAATATTCAGTAAAACAATATATATTCAATACATACTAATTATGTTACATTTAAAATTGACTATATATGGATGTATAATATACATATATAAACTATTTGAATATTTTTTATGAAACACTAAAAAATTATCAAGAACAAGCTTGCAGAAATAAAAATCAAATATTTTCCATTTAATACAATTAATTACAATTTGTATTTTACACTTTTATGAAACACTGAAAAATTATCAAGAACAGCATGCAGAAATAAAAATCAAATATTTTCCATTTAATAATACAATTAATTACAAACAATTTGTACTTTACACATTATAATATGCCAATTATTTGTCAATATAATCACGACAGTTTTATATAATACTTATGATGATATAATACTTTGTACGAGACATTACAAAATTATCAGAACCATGTTTCAGAGACATAAAATATAAATTAAACTATAGATTGAAAATTAGAGACACAAAATAGACCACTAGAAAATACATTGTTCCGTTTATCACTGGAACTCGAAAACGACCTAATCGCAGTTAGGCAATTAAAGAGTTACGTTAAACATTATTCGAGCCCAGTCACGTTTTCATTATGCTGGTTGAAGGTTGATAACTGAAAGCCCGGGTAGACAATGCTCGATCCGAGATTATTCGAATCGTATCTCTCTCGAGCAGATGAATCACCTGGACTAGAAATTCACGTGCCAGGGACAAAGCGTTCGAACTGTGGCAACAGTTGTGGCAAAAGTGCAAAGTTCGAGACAACGCTTTCCCCGGTGAATTCTTCGACCCTTACGCAAACTTCTGTCTGCGGTTTAATAAAAAAAAAAAAGGATTGTTTCCTTTTGGTCACTGGAACTTTGATCGTTCCGGTTTTCTTTTTTTTTCCTCCGACTGTGGAATTATTAAAACTTTGTGATTTCTCACGTTGTACAGTTTCGCTACTTGTTTTTGTTTCGAATTTTTCGCGCTGTTATTTCTGTGATTGTTCTCTCTTAGACTGATCGTCAATTTTCGTTTTCGCCCTGCGGCAGTTTTCAAATTTTGCAGGTTCTTTAATCGAACACTATTTTGTCACTTAATTTCTACTTTTTACCGCGTATTTTTCATACACTCAATTTTGAATATTTTAAATATAATACAAATGTTATAAATATTATATTTTAAATATTTTAAATATAATACAAATATTATAAATATTATATTTTAAATATTTTAAATATAAATTTTTAAATATAATATTATGATATTTTAAATATAATACAAATATTATAAATATTATATTTTAAATATTTTAAATATAATACAAATTTTAAATATAAATTTTTAAATATGATATTATAATACTTTAAATATAATACAAATATTATAAATATTATATTTTAAATATTTTAAACATAATGCAAATATTATAAATATTATATTTTAAATATTTTAAACATAATACAAATATTATAAATATTATATTTTAAATATTTTAAATATAATACAAATATTATAAATATTACATTTTACACCTTAAATATTTTAAATATAATACAAATATTATAAATATTACATTTTACACCTTAAATATTTTAAATATAATACAAATATTATAAATATTACATTTTACACCTTAAATATTTTAAATATAATACAAATATTATAAATATTACATTTTACACCTTAAATATTTTAAATATAATACAAATATTATAAATATTACATTTTACACCTTAAATATTTTAAATATAATACAAATATTATAAATATTACATTTTACACCGTAAATATTTAAATATTACACTTTAAATATTTCGTACATTTTCCCCACATTGCACATGGATATTTCCCACAATTTTAAATTTCCACGAATGAAAAATGCGCTGAGAAGCTATATAGTTGTCACTTACTTATCATGGTTTTCCCGGTGCACGAAGGCCACAGATCGCTCGCGAAGGTCAACGACACCACGATCAAGATCAGTGTCAACTTCCCGATACTCCGATCGATCGTCATCTTCTCACCTTTCCCTCGATCAGGCAATCCTCCGAATTACTGTTACGCGATCGTGAGCAGAAGATTCAGGCTCTCGGAGAGCAAGTCGGTAAAACGTTTAAAGTTTTATCTGGAACGCGTGACCGGTAGGTCAATCGGACTATAAAATTGGCCGATTTACTAGCGAGAACCGGTCGTTGGAAGCAGACGGACTAGTAGCTGAACACGGTCGTGCGACTGCCTTTATATTTACCTGTCTCATAGCCTGGAACGTGTAATTGTGGTTTACATGGTGGGGATCGGTTGCACAGGACAGGGTGATCGGCTCCAAGGCCATCGGGGGAGCAATTTTCTTTTTTTTTTGTTTTATGTGTGTAACAAATTGAGAAATTTTTCTGCCTTGGAAACGTCAAAATTTCTAGACCGATCAGATTTGGCTTTAGTTTAATTTAAGAACTAGGCATACATTAGATTTAAGAGTTAGATCTAGGTTCAATTTTCTTTTTTTTTTTGCTCATTTTCCATCCACTCGTGTTTCTCTCAAATTTAACTAAAAATGTCCCGAGTGAAATATGAAAAAGTTCTTCCTTTCAGCATTCATGACCCTTTAATTCAAGGTTATCGAAATCCTTCTTGTTGATAATGAGTATATAAAAACTGAATGATAGCAGGGTTAATGTCTTTTTATTCAGGATTATTTCAAATAGGCTCGACGATTTTTGTTTTAGAAGTGTTAGGATGAAAATTAGTGGTAAAGACAATTTTCTAGACTTTTCTAGACTAAAATATAAGACTTACTCTAAATTAGGTTTAAGATTTTAGAGTCAAGTCTGCATCTAGGTCCATCATCCATCTAGATTAAGTTTCACACTTTTTGTTTTTTTAGATTTAGCAATTTCTGTTTTAAAGATACTAAAATGACAAGTAGGGTCATAGTCAGATTTAAAGATTAGGTCTAGAGTTAACTTTGTTTGTTGTGGTCCTAGATTTAAGTTTAATTCAACTTAGGTTCAGGTGAAGGTCTGGAACTAGATTTATAACAACTAAAGTAACTATATAATTACATAGGTATATATTCAGCTATACAGTATGCTAAATAGTAGCTATATTTAAGTTTAGTTCAACTTGGATTTAGATACAGATCTAGAACTAGATTTACTTTAATATATAATTGCATAGTTACGTATTCAGCTATATAGTAAAATAGTAAAATAAATTATATACAGTTAGCTGTGAAACGTGTATTTAAATTTTTAGTTTTTAATTTAACTTAAGATTCCTGGTTCAGGTCTAGAACTAGATTTACATCAACTAAAATAACTATATAATTACATAGGTATATATTCAGCTATACAGTATGCTAAATAGTAGCTATATTTAAGTTTAGTTCAACTTGGATTTAGATAAAGATCTAGAACTAGATTTACTTTAATATATAATTGCATAGTTACGTATTCAGCTATATAGTAAAATAGTAAAATAAATTATATACAGTTAGCCATGAAATGTGTATTTAAATTTTTAGTTTTTAATTTAACTTAAGATTTCTGATTCAGGCTTCTAGATTTAGCTTAGGTTTAAGCTGCATGCACAATAAATTGCCATTTCTTTGTGACAAATATATTCGTCATGCGCAGCTAATACCTTGACAATTAAGTCTAGATTTGTAAGTCCACGTCAGATCCAAAAGCTGGCTCTAAGCTTCAGGTTAGATTTATGGTAACATATCGACCACATTTCAAAAGATTATTCACCGCGCGTTCATGTGTAATCGCTGTAAGCCAGCACGTGCATTCAATATTATTTTTATCCTTGGTGCAAAGTGCTTTTACATTTTACGTTTAACAAATGTTTAGATTATCGGAATTTCCCTCTCTACGATTCAGCGCACGTGATTTAGCATGCGGATAAACTTGGATATATTACAAATTTTCTAAGTATAGAGAACGTGTATTTGTGTGGCCGTCGCGTTTTGTGGTCTTTGTTAATCAATTCCGCTCATAATTAATTTAATAACAGTGATAATTAATTAAACTGATTTCAATTGTCATATTATGAAGTATAATCTTAATGTACGTTTCATAGTCGGTTTTTAGTTGTTAAATTAAATTTGATGTAAACTGTAGTTAAGTCTGTGTTCAGATTAGATTCAGCTGAATTGGGATTTTGGTCACGTTTTTATTAAATCTGAGCTGAGAAAGGATTGTGTCATACGTTGGTTACAGGATTCGATATAACTTGAGTTATGTCAGCTTTTAATCCACTAAGAGCCAAACAATAATTTGTCGTAATTTTTCAAGTATTTCATTCCTTTTTTTTTTTGTTCCATAAAATGGTTTATAGAGAAATGGGAATCAAACAGTGATGAAAAGAATATTAATAATATTATTAGCACATAGTTATATCAAACAGTGATATTAGATTTATTAGATAGTGCATTTATGCTCACTGAAATTTAAAATATTCAATTTTTTATACCACAAGAGAGATCAATAATAGTAAAATCGAGTTAAATTAATAAAAAAGAGATCACTAACAATAGAATTTCAAAATTGAGCAATACTACTGTAAACTTTAGCTAGTAATTTTCTATGTATCAAATTTACTCGGTAATTTCTCAGTTTCAGTAAAAATTACTTGAACAGATAGGAATCATGTTGAAGAATAAAATTTTAAAATAAAACTATTATCAGTATAATAAAATTAAACAAAAATTTTATTCAAACAATTACACAGAGTTTAATTTACATTTATATGTAAGTTAATTAAATAATTTATAACAATATTGCTCAATAATGAAACCTTTAATTTAATTTAATTTTGTTACCAATCTCTTTGGACAAACTACAGTGTAAATAGTTTATATATATTTCATGTGACCCGACAATACCAATTAAGCGTTGAGCAAATCTTCACAATGTTCAAAAAAAAAAAAAAAAAAAAATAGAATCTTTATCGTTTGATTTTTCTCCAAAATTTAATATTCCGCGGCAAGAAGTGAGAGAAGACCGCTGTCGAGTTAACGTAGAATTTTTAGAATGCCAAGTTAACGTACACACACATACACACATATATATATATATACTCGCGATACGTATTTCTACAAATTGACGTTGCAGCTCACGTCTGCGTATTATGGGATTAACGACGCTTTCCACTGACGTGGTCTCGAGTTGATATTCCAGCGTGTTAGAAAATAGAGGAAGTAGCTTTCAAGCTTCTGGAGGGATGCTGCGCGCCTTTACAGAGGTGGCGATTATTTTCCAGCCGTCTAATTGTTTCTTATTAAGCATCATCTGCCCTGACGATTCTCCTTCCGTTCCTTTCGCGCAACTTTCGAAACCTCCTAGTGTGTAATCGACTATGCCGTATAAACGTTGGAATCTTAACGAGATGTTCTTGTTGACAAGAATCTTGATAATCTTCTTAACAAGGGTGGTATTGATACAAAGAATTAATGAGAAAATTGAACGACTATTGTGTAATGAAATTTTATATGGTAAATAAAAATGTAAACACAAGTGAACATATGGTTTTATATAGTGAGATTAATGACAAGTATTAGTAAGGTTTGGGTTTCTCTTGTATTTTTTAACGTTTGAATTTTATTTGTTTATTAATGTTAGATGGATCATGGGACAGAATAGTAAATACAGAAGAAACAGAGAAGGAAAGAAGAAATCTTACTGAAATAGTGAAAGTATTAATATTATAGTACTTTATAGTAGTACTTTATATATAGTATACTATAATATTAATACTATATATATAGTATTAATATTATAGTACACTGTAATAGTTATACTGTATATATAGTATAATACTTTATATATAATATTAATACTATATATAAAGTACTATACTATATATATAGTATTAATATTATAGTATATTATAGTATAGTACTTTATATATAGTATTAATATTATAGTGTACTATAATATTAACACTATATATATAGTACAGTACTGTATATAATACTATATATATAGTACAGTATTTTATATACAGTATATAGTATTAATATTATAGTGTACTATAATATTAATACTATATATATAGTACAGTACTTTATATACAGTATTAATATTATAGTACACTGAATTATTGAAACGTGTGATATTAATCTTTCCTCTTTCCTCTTTCTTTTTCTGCATTTATTGCTGTATCTTAGCCCATCTAATAATAAATAAATAAATAAATCGAGTGAATAAATAAAATCGATATTAACTTCACGTCTGGTTAAATAAATAATAAAAATATTACTTAAAATATTATAATAATCGACGACTGAACGAGAAAGAAACAATCTAAATTGAGAAAATTCCACTATCTTTCACGGGAAGGTGAATCTCATTGCACTGGACACCTAAATTATATTATCCTCTCGCGAAATTTTGATAACGTTTGCCGACCTTAACGTTTTGGAACCAATGAACGCTTGATTTATTATCGAAAGCGTGTGTCTAACAGCCTAATTGGATGGCGAAGCGTGCGGATGATGTTTGCCGTGCTTTTAAGCGATCAATGATTTATCGATGATATTCGAAACGATATTTGCGCGCGCGACACGTGTGTCCCAGCTTCTTTAAGGCTTGGAAAGTTGTATCGACCGGTTTCATCGACTATTCCCAGCCGGCGTCCATTATCTTTTTTTCTTTTTTTTCCTACTTCGCTCGCGAAACCTGCTCGTCCGCGGATTCGCGATATTTCACGTTCGAGCATTTTACTATTTTTCCCTCCTCGTGAGTTCCGATTCGAAGATTTTCACGAAGGAAAGGAAAGAGGCGAAGACTAGCTCTCCCTCCGAGGAAATTTCGTATTCCACCGGTAGAACGTCGCACGTATTTCTCACCTCTTGGCTTGAAAAATCCCGCGCGCGCGAAAAATTCATGCCAACTACGGACGAAGAGATATCGAAATGGTAAGTAAACGGCAATTACGCCAGTTAGGAGCAGATGGAACGTTTTAAATGTCGGGGACGTGAGTTAAGCGACGCGGCGCGCGCGGCAGTTTGTTAAAACCGAAAATTTACAGCAGCACGGAATGATTTATCTGTCGCGAGACGACGTGCAGACGAGGAGAGCTCTGGCGGATGCACGTCGCATCCAGCTCGGGCGTCGCTGCACTTTGGAATGCAAATTCCACTTCGCCACTTTGCACCGCCACCGGGAGAGAAAATTTTCAACCCTCCTCCTCCTCCTCCTCCTCCTCCTCCTCCTCCTCCCACCTGCGGCGAACGTGCCCTGCGTTTCGCCTTGTCTACTTCGATTTATTTGCCGCGGATACCTCTATCGGTATACCTCGCCGCTCTTCCAATTTCCTACGAAAGAGAAAGAGAAGAGAAAAGGTGTACGACGTCGGCGATGACGTAGAATTTAATTTCCTCTTCGTTGCCACCAAGTTGGCCTTTCTTTCGCAGAGTCGTAGATCGTGCACCCGCGATTCCACGAATCGATTCGAATTTTTTTTTATGGGCGTGTTGGGGGAATCGAAAATTGAAAATTTCGTTGCATTATTTCAGGTCGCTGGCGCTCTGAATCGTGGAGATTGTTTAGGAATATTTCGAATTTCCAACTTTTTAAATTAAGCTCGATGTCTCTTTTCGAAATCTTTCGCGGAATTTCAGAGAAATGACGTTTCACTGTGATCGTTGAGAGCATTCCCTTGGTATTGTTCGCGAGTTTTACAGCTCGAAACTTTTAGGAGAGTTTTGGGGAAGGTTGAAATTATTGGAAGATTGAAGGAATTTCGGACTTGCTTCTCCGAGACTTCCATTGGAATTTTAAATCATCCGGCACTTGGTGTTGCAGTGAATTCGGGACGATCTCGGGAGTATTTCAAATTTGTTTGTAAAATGTTTGAAGAGCGAATTCGAGACAATGAAATTTCAAATTTTTCGGATAGGGTATCGAAAATCTAGGATTTGGACAGCGTTCGGGAATAAAATTTTAAAGTTGCATCGTTTCTAATCATAGATAACTTAAGGTAATTACAGAAACATTGAGTTACAATTTTAGTAATTTCTTTTACTTCGAGACCTTTAAAATTGCAGTTTCATGTAATTTTAGAATACTTTGCATCTCGACGATTAAAATTCTTCGGAACTTCTGAAATTTCAGACTTCAAGTTTCAAGTCTGCGATGTGTCGAGTTTTAAAATATTGAAATATCAGAATTACGGATTTATTTCAAATTTTTGACTACTGGAAAGCATCGAGTTGTTAACCAGAGACTTTTATGATTGATTAGTTTCATCTTTGTATAATATACGCAGATACGATCCAATTAATTCTTTTTAATGAAGGTAAAACTATGTACAAAGAAATTATTATTCAGACGACGAGTCGACGAGTTGAAAATTCAGTTTTGAAATACCGTTTCTGAATAGTCATTTATTATTTTCAAAAAGGTAGCAGAAACTTTTACAATATAACAATTAATAGCAAGAAGAAATCAATTTTAGTTGGATTAATTCAACAAGACAAATTCTACCCAAGTTCTATCTAAGTTAGTACCAAGATAAATTCTAGTTAGATCAATTTACAAATCAAATTTAGATAGATCTTAGAATTTAGTTTGAAAGTTCAGTCCAATTGTCTCTGAATAGTTCATTACTTTCAGACCAGAAACTTTCATAACGACAAAATCAAAACCAATAGCAAGAGGAAGTCAATTTTAGTTCGGTTGGTTTAACTCGAAAATTCAGTTCAGTTATTCCTGAAAAATTTATTTCTTTTTCCCCAACGAAGGACCAGAAACTTTTACAACTGTGAAATCAAAAATGAACAACGAAATCAATTTCAGTTAGGTTAGTTCAACAGGGGGCAATGTTAACTCAGCTTCAGAGACAATTCTAGTTACTTTAATTCACTAGATCAGCTTTTAGGTTAGGTTCGTTTCGATTTTTATCAGTTTTATCACCGACTCGACGAAACTGTACGAGAAGAAAATCTCGCTTCGGCGACGAATTAACAGTTTGGAAATTGAATGGAGCACGAAATTCCATGAAAACTAATCGCTTCTAATGAGTTTACGTACGTACGAACATAGCAACATGGCGGAGCCTAGTGAAATTTTTGCATTATTTCCCGTTCCCGAAGATTCTATCTAGCTTTTAAACGAACACAAAAGAAGAGAAGGAGGAGGAGGAATCATCTCAACTGGTTGAGAATAACGCAATCGGGTTATCGATCGGATTCTAAAAATATCCGATAGTTAAATGTGGTTTTGCCGTGTTATAACGGGTTTTCGCGGACCACTTGTCCTTGTTTTAATCAAGGAGTCCGTGTTGCCCGATGGAAACGATCAAAGAGGAAGCTGAGCCAGAGGGATCCTCAACCTTCTTCATCCTCGTCTCTCATCCGAAACGTCTCGATCCGACTTTTCTTAATTAACGTTAAGAACCTCCACCTTGGCGACCTTCCCTCTATTTTTAAACAATTTTTCCAATTAAAATCTGACTCGAAACGAAAGAAATTCATACACGAAGATGCTTCATATTTCACTTTGTCACGACATTTTAACGATTTCTTAGTCTCTCTCTCTCTCTCTCTCTCTGTCGTGGACAAAGTTTGTAATCTTGACTTGCGTTGAGCAGAAATCGTTACGCTCCTCCACGTGTGTTACTCCACGGTAACGTTTTATCATCGGAAAATTCCACCGGCCTCTAGATAAGTGAAACGAGAAAGATCTCTCGCGAACGTGTATTAACGAAGACAGCTACCTATCTGAACGTTGTACATCAGTTTCGAAATCGATTTCCACCATGGCTAGACGCGAGGATTGGCTCTCCCTTTATCGGGCCGTGAAAGTTTCACCACCGTCGAACGTCTCACGGATCGATCTCAATGAAAATCGACGCGCGCGTTGTTACCTCGTCCTGTTTCTTTCTCGCGCGATTTTCCAGTCGCGACGAACCGTTTCCTTTTCCACCCCCTTTTCGATGAATTATATTCAAGCTTCTTAAACAAGTGTTCTAACTCCAACTCGCGAGAAGTTCGTTAATTAGAATCTCTCTTTCTCTCTCTCTCTCTCTCTCTCTCCTCTCTAATTGGACAGGCGTTAATCAAGGGTTGTTAATTAGTCTCTTAATAATCAGCACGCCTGTCTGGCGTTTAATTAAGGGCTTCGTTAATTCGAATCTGTTCGTCTGGTGCCAGGTTAATCGGCACTCGTTAATTAGGCCAGCCTGATAATTGAAATTCCGACCGGAAAACTCGCAGTTCGGAATTCACTTCAAGCTTCGTTCGTCAATTGTGTCGTTGTGCGTCGAACGAACGTCGGAACGATATTTCGAACTGTCGCTGTTTGGCGAGAGGAGGATCCCATTCGGTCCCATCGGTCTCAAAGCGCCGGAGTTGCTATAGTTAGTCGACAGTCGTGGGTTAGGTTTCTACATTCGCGTGGGATATTTGTATTTTTTGTAGAAAATCTGTAAAAATTCAAACGACTCTGACTGGAATTGGAACGTTGCGATTGCAAGTTAGATCCACCAGTGGTCTCTCTCGAAGATTGAAATTTTCGATTTGAATTTACTCTACCTTACTCAAAATTTACTGTACGATTTTTTAGATTTATTACGATTTACTGATTTCCCTTTGATTCACTGTACGACGTCATTTGACATCTGTTGCACTTTAAACATCAAGGTTCGATTTTGATCGAAAATATTCGAAATCCAATGAAATGGCGAACGAGATAATTTTAATGCACGATTTCTTTTAAGTTGTAGACACAGGCTTGGAAAGAATGATATAGAGTATTGCAACGATGTGAAATTTAGGATTTTTCGATTTTTTTATATAATTTGAACTTTCATGTATCTAATAATAATAACAGTGAAAATTAAGATAAAAGTATAAATAAACAATGGTGTGCTTTTAAGTAACTTTAATAATTTCTTGATTTTTTAATGCAATTTGTAATATGTAG